TTTTTGTCCCATCTTTGGAATTCCAAGTTGGCTCATGCCTTTACGTGAAAGTTGGCTCATGCCTTTACGTGACCGCAGCGGTCAAAGCAGCCAGCCATTTCGGCAAGGCACAAAGTGACCAGAGCGGTCAAAGCCAGTTTTAGGTTCATTGGAACCTGTCGAGACCTTGGGTGCACATACAGCGTATACATTCAAACGAGGTAGGTTTTCCTAGGTCGTTTTAATGAGGCTCGGCTTCATCGGTTCTCGTCCCCTCCATTTGGTTCCCCCTTTCATCCCTTCCCTTCACACACTCTTGTTTCCTCTTTTCTTTCATGTCCTCCTGTCTTCATGTCTGGTCATCTCATCCTTTTCTTCGTTTGCGCGCACATTGGTCCCGGCCTTAGTGTGTACGTGCACTTCTACACACATTTAAACACAGGTTTCAGGTCGCCCAGGTCTCTACAATGAGGTGGGCTTCATCGGTTGTCCCTGTGCACTTGGTTCCCCTTTCATTTCAACCGCACGCACCTTTGTCCCGTCTCGTCCTCTTGTCATGTCTTCATTTTCTTGTCTCTTGAGCGCGCACACGTGCACATTGGCCCTCACCTTAGCTTCTCGCCTCCCCTCGGGGAGGCGTGTGTGTGTCACCCTTGGAGTCATAGGGATGCTTTTGCATTTGCATTTTTCTTACAGCAGGGGGTGCCAGGGATGCACACTGGACTGGCACCAACGAAGACGCCAGTGTTGCATCTGTGAAATCAATCCGGGACGCCGGATTGCCGTACCTGCTTGGAGAGAAACCTACGTAAAGCACAAGCTGTCTACTTCGTTGTTTTCTTCAGTAAAGGGCTAATGCAGCGGTGACGAACTTGGCTTTTCTGCACGTACGTCGTCATCTGGTCGCCCGCTCGTTCGGTCTTTCCTGAAACTTTTGGGACCTCCGCTGGATGGACCTCCTCTTCTTCTTTAGGTTTCCCTACCTGTACTCTTAGGAAATGGAACCCTAGGCCGGCGTGTGGCACCGCTATCAAGTCCGTACGCATATCCATGAGTGTGTGTGATTATACATGTGCACATTCCACGTGAAATCCCTTCTCCTCCATCATTTACCCCAGCTGCCGAAACCAGCATGCCAAACAAGGGTGAGTGTTATCTGATTCAATCAGCGCTCTATACTCTATACTATATAAGGTCCAGAAGTCTTGGAACAAGCTGCACTTCAGCACGCAAAGAGAAAACGTCTTAATTCAAGGCACCCTCATCCACTTCGCAGCGCAATGGCAAAGGCGGAACTGAGTTGAGGTGCAACGTCGCTGGTGACTGCGCGCCTTGGCTTTTGGAAATACGTCGCCGACAGCGTCACAAAGCGGGCTTTTCATGGTCTGTGGATGTCTGTGGCCTACGGTCCACTCTATCATTTTTGCTGTTCATGTCCGCGCTCTATGCACCAAAGAAAAATCCGACGCGGGCAGCACACCTTCACCATCCCTCTTTTTTGTCTTGCAGGTGTCCGTCTTAGCCTTAGGCGCACACTCGTGGTGGCTTCGGATCTACCTCCGGTGCCCCGAGCCACCCTTCAAATGCTGAGCACGTCATCCTTCAGACCTCTTCGGTAAAGAGCATAGGCTCATTCTGAACTCATTTGGGCCGTGATGCCTTCTCTTCCACTCCACTGGTTCCTTCCCTTCGCGCCAACTCATCCAGCACTTCTTTGGGGCTGATGCCCATGGATGCCCAAAGAACCAAGAGGTGAAACAGCAAATCGGCCGATTCCTTCACCACTCCTTCAGTCCTCCTGGCCGCAGCTTCGATGCAAACCTCTACACCTTCTTCCCCCACTTTCTGGGCACACTTATCAGGGCCCTTGGCCAACAGTCGGGAGGTCCAAGAAAGACTGGTGTCTGGATTGGCCTGCCTTTCTGCAATGGTTTGCCATAAACGGTCGAGCCTCCGAAAGCTAGACACCTGTGTTGGCTCTTCGTGGCACTGCAAAGACTGTGGAGCTTCCCGGGCTTTAGGTAATGGAACTTGGCGTTTGTGGCCGGCATTCAAAGCTGCAAAACCCGAGCCACAGGCTGCTGCCACCAGCAATCTCGAGGTGTGCATGGTTCCCACGTGGGGATCAGCGGGAGGCGCAAACCATGAAGCCCCGAAGCCCCCCGTCTGCCCGGTTTGAGCTTGACAGCTTGCACACATGGCCCTTTTACAAAGCCCGCTCCTACTTAACTAAGTAGGGCCCTACTTAATTAATGGAGCAAGCTTGTAGCTACTTAAGCTACTACATATGGATGCAGGATAGCTCACGTTTCTAATGACTTGTTTCCTAGGGAAACTTAACTTGAGATTGGCAGAATGGTCGTTCTAGGTCGTTCCTCAAACAGTCCCAGCCGCCCAGTCAGTTCTCATGTTGTGGTTACGCCTCCGTTACTTGTACACATTTTTGAACGGAGAACTACGCTCTGGAAGATCAACATGGAACTTGAAAACCACTGGGTTGTAAAGGAAAGTAGTATTCCAAAGTTCAGGTTCGATGATAATCTTGCCAGGTGTGGGCTTCTCAGATCCAAGCTTCCACTTTCTGTGTCTTGACAGCCTGCCGGCGCGGCGTATTAAGCCTACCTGCCTTACCTGCCCTACCGTTGCTCGTGACTCGCAACGACCTACCCTAGGGTTGCCCTCTTGCAATCTCTTTCCCAAAACACCTTCCATGGCCATTCAGTTACAAGATCTATATGTGAAATTCCGGCACACTCCGCTCAAGTTCACCTTGTGATCGAAAATCAATCATCTCGAAAATCATCGAAAACCCATGAAAACCAATGTCAATATGTTTCAATTAGGTTGGAGACAATCGTTAGTAGGTTGGAGGTTGGAGGCCATCGCTAGTAGGTTGGAAGTAGGTTGGAGGCCATCGCTAGCAGGATAAAGGCCATCGCTAGCAGGTTGGAGGCCATCGCTAGTAGGTTGGAGGCCATCGGCCATCGCTAGTAGGTTGGAGGCCACCGCTAGTTGGTTGGAGGCCATCGGCCATCGCTGGTAGGTTGGAGGCCATCGCTGGAGTAGGTTGGAGGCCATCGCTAGATGGTTGGAGGCCATCGCTGGTAGGTTGGAGGCCATCGGTAATAGGTTGGAGGCCATCGCTAGTAGGTTGGAGGCCATCGCTAGTAGGTTGGAGGCCATCGCTAGTAGGTTGGAGGCCACCGCTAGTAGGTTGGAGGCCACCGCTAGTAGGTTGGAGGCCATCGCTAGTAAGTTGGAAGCCGTCGCTAGTAGGTGGGAGGCCATCGCTAGTAGGTTGGAGGCCACCGCTAGTGACCGCTAGTGGGTTGGAGGCCGTCGCTAGTAGGTTGGAGGCCATCGCTGGTAGGTTGGAGGCCACCGCTAGTAGGTTGGAGGCCATCGCTAGTAGGTTGGAGTCCATCGCCGGCAGGTTGGAGTCCATCGCTGGTAGGTTGGAGGCCACCGCTAGTAGGGTGGAGTCCACCGCTAGTAGGTTGGAGGCCATCGGTAATAGGTTGGAGGCCATCGCTGGTAGGTTGCAGGCCACCGCTACCAGGGTGGAACCGCTAGTAGGTTGGAAGCCATCGCTAGTAGGTTGGAGGCCACCGCGAATAGGTTGTTGGAGGCCATCGCTAGTTGGTTGGAGGCCATCGCTGGTA